TTTAGTATATAATTGTATTTGCCGTTCAAAAAAAAAATTATTTACAATACATAGAATAAGAGACAGAACCAAATCCAAAGTAAAACACCACTCACCACTTCAGCCATCACCTCGCTTTCGAACACTACTTTCGAACACTACGTAAAGCCCAACTTCAAACGAAATGAAATTGTAACACCCGTATTTTCAATAAACAATTAACCTGTTATATTTTACGACATCAATTATATATTATAAAAAAAATAGTTTATGACATCCATTATCGATTATTAAAGTTAGATTGGTCGTAAAATAATTATAATTTAGAAATATGTCGTATTTAGATCTTATAAAATATAGACTTCGAAAGAGGTATAAGTAATTATAAAATATATTTGATATATATTTAATCAAAGATAATATATTAATGTGACAAGATAAATATTATGTATTATACTATGTTTAAGATATTTAAGGTTATAAGAAATCGTAATGTAATAAATTTATATGCTCAATGTTAGAATAGAAACATTTTGGTTTAAATTAATCGAGAAGTAAAAATATGTAAATAAAAAAATAATAAATTCATGAACCATAAGGATAATGGATGCAATTTGTTAGTAAATTGGACGTTGATCAACTAGGGATGCTTGCTCACCAATCTAAATACTACGTGTTGATCAACTAGTGAATCGTACAAGAATACGTGACACTTATTTATTGGTAGTTCTCTATAAACTAGAAAAGAGCCCATGCTTTGCATGGGTTAGGAAGAATTTAGAATTTTCCAAAAAAAATTCGCCCATTATCATTTATCATTCATAGATAAACTATAATCAACTCATTTCCATATAAAAAAAGTGACTAAAATGAAACTAAAGTTCTAATTCTTTTCGATGTCAAATGATCTAATAGTTTGTTAATATAATCAACACGTCAAACAAAAAAAAAAAAAAAAAAAAAACAAAAAAAAAAAAAAAAAAAAAAAAAAAAGTATCCTCATTATCGTTGTGGTAACCATCTAAAACCAAGGGTATAGAGAGAGGGACATATATGCCTTCACTATACCTTTCTCCTTTGATTCAATGTAGAAATTTGTCAACTATAAACATAATAATATAAAAACAAGAAGACGATGATTTTTTTAGCAGTGAATGGATATAAACAAAACAGAAACGGATATATTTGAGTCTATCTTAATGTTATCTTGAACATAGTTATATACAATAAGAGTGAAGTTTTTTTTTACAACTTTTCAATAAGAAACTGAAAAAAAATAACATAATGGTCACATATATACACTTCCTAAATTTGAAAATAAAATATGTTTGTCCAAAAGAACAACAAATACTTTCATCAACTTGTTTATAATATCATTTTATTTCCAATGTTATATTTTTAATACGTTTTACAATATTCTCTTCCATTCCATCCAAGGGTATTTATGGAAAGAAAAAAAAAATGAACGGGTGATGCAACAATTAGAAGGCTAGCCACACAACACATCATGTATGTATATAAAAAAATCATGTAAGCTAATCATGGTGAACAATAGTAAAAATTACCTATAGTATCTGACTGGAAATGGTACCTTGTAGGTAATACCCCATTTTTCAAGACGATCTGTATTAACCTACAACGCCCAAAGAAAGACAATAATGAGCAAAGATAATGTAATTGGAAACTGATTTTAGGTCTTTTTTTTGGTTAAATAATAGAAAGATACTCTTAATAAGGTACAGAAAGAACTGATCAAATTTTTATTACATACCAGATCAAAAACTCCAGCCTCTTTAGTATAAATATGGTTTCTTACATTATACCCTGCTTATAAATCCAATAAAAAGAGTTTAACTAACCTTATTACAATAAGTACAAAAAATGTAAGATTCGTCCATTTACTCCTTTTGTGCGTGATTGTTATCAGAAAGGGTAATATTGTCAATTGTGAATATAGGTAAATTACGTGCTTTATCTAAATATTTTAGTGTTTTAAATTATTAAAAGATATTATATTTTTGAATAAGCTGAAACATAATTTATAAGTGATTAAAACATGATCTCGAAAACAAAATCCACCTATAAAAGCAATAAAATCAGGCTTCTCGGCATCAATCATCCGCTTTAGAAATAAAGTAGTGTTAAGATCAGAACACCATTCAAACACCATTCAAACTCAGAGCTCAAAACATCTCTACACCTAGTCAATCCAGTTCCATAATACATATCAGCAACCTAATCAACACATATAACTAATTATTTTCATTCCTCAACAGACCTTGAAAAGTCTGACATGAATTTGAAGTTTAACCTGAAGGATCTTAAAAGTGCCGAAGCTTAGAGGGAGATTAGGATGCTTCAATGAAGTGTTAATTATATACATTGACTAATTTTTGGAGCAAAGCATGCTGTACACAGGGCAAGTCAAGAGCTAGAAAGTAAAAATATGGATAATAATAGGAGAAAAATTGAAAAATAATGAGAAATGTATAAAACTAACCCTCATATTTTTAAAATCAATATCAAAAAGATCCTTGACTTGGTCTTCATGCTTTAACCACTGATTCTTGACCCTTCAATCTTGCTTAATGTACATGACCTGCATTAGATATTTGTCACCATGTACAGTATATTAGGCACACATACAACCCCAAATGATGGTTGCAACATTGTACTTCTAATGTAGTGAATAGAACTTGGAATGATGAATAGAACCTGTGTTGAAATACAGAGAATATCAGCCAGTTGTATTTTTCCAGACCACAACCTGTAATACAAGTCGAGAATTATCATAAAAGTATAAAATTATGGCAATAAAGCTCAAAATCAGAATCCATACATGTAACACTCAAAGTAAAAGTCTATTCTGATCATATACCTGGAACAACTTTCAATTGAGCCTCTTGTTGGAGAAAAAAAATCACTTGGTAATGGTTTGTAGAATCTAGTGAACAGACTGGGGATAAGGGTTTGTAGTGAAGTGTCTCTCCACATCCAATAGCCTGTTGATTTCATGAATTGCAGCCAAACTCAGAACGAATGCATATCATTTTGATTTGATCACTAAAAGATTATAATCGCATAATAAAATCTAAAAACATATAACAGTGATTGAAAGCATTAGATTGTAAAGTAGATAAGCCCTAAATACCTGTTAGAATAACCAAAATGGAAAAAAGCAGTAGCAAATTCATTAAAACTCAAACCCTATTTCGCAGGTCTATTTCAATCGATTTTTCTGGCCATTCAACGCCTTCAACTTCTTGAACAAAATATAATCCTAGATTTTGTACCTTCAATTAGGTAATTTTGGAATTTTGGAGGAAAAGGGCTTGAAATTAAGTAGATAGGAATACAAACAGCTGTAATGAATGGATAAAATCAAAATAGAAATGGAAGGAAAACTATTAGTAGTCACAATAAAATATGTTAGGGCTCGTAACTGGAAAGACTAAATAAATAATACATGTTAGTCGTCGAACCAGATGTGGACAAAAACCGATGATGGTCGGCGGTATAAACGGTGATGGTCGTCGTCAGAGGCGGTGTACAGTTTGTTGGTGGTGGTGTGAAATAGGACCGTCTTTCTTTCAGAGAACATAAAGATGGAGCAAAAGCAGTGGTTGAGTTAGAGGAAGACAACAATTTGGGTTTTTTTCCTATGTAATTCGGAATGGGAAATCGGAGGCTGAATGTCTCCGCTGCCTCTCCTCAAATAACCCACCGCCTCTCCTCATCTCAGTTCTTCTCTAACGCCCACCACATCTTCCATCTGGAAACCCTAGATGTATCATTACTCCTTCTTCGACTCACCTACCTCTCTCTCTCTCTCTCTCTTTATTACAGAAAGAGACACCGAGAAACAGACATAGTCGAGAAAGGAAGCAGAAAAGAAGCTAATGACAATACCAATTTTGTTCATTAAATGAAAATTAGGAGCGGGTAGTTGGGGGAGAAAGAAAAGGCACACAAAGAATACAGAGGGATCGAACGTATGTTTTTCCTCCAGGAGGTGGAGGTATGTAGAACAAAATAGAAGAAGAAAGACGATGGCGGTGAGGAGGAAGCTGCAAACCCAAACCAAGAAGTCGACCGGAAGAAACTGGAAGAAACTGGAACAACAGTCGCCTTTTCGTAATTCGGTGGATCGGGGGAGGATTAACCCAGGTTAAACTAACCCGAAGGGCATGGCAGTTACCAAAGTCGATGGTGGATTCAGAGGTTGAAGGGGGCGTAGATCGAAAGCCTGAAGGCGATCATCATATTATCCCAAAAATCTGAAACGATTGAACAAAAAAGAGGAAAGAAGGAAGAAGTAGAGAAGGACCGGAGTGGAGAAGGGGTATTCAAATAGACTGCTTCTAAATTATGTATCGGTGGGGATAAGCTGCAACCGATAAAACACAGGCGGTGATATACACGTGTATATGGAGGAAACATCGAGAAGGAGGCGGTGGAGGATAAACACAGGAAAATAACCCGTGTCCAAGGCATCCACACGTATCCAACCTTTGACCAGTAAAAATGAACAACACGTGTACATAGAAAATGGCAAAAAGGCAAAATATGACCCCTTCAAAGAAACGATCCAAAACTGTAACTACACACATAGACAGAGGACCATAATAATAATAAATTAACAAAGTGACACACAAACAAAAATGGAATGGAGGGACCGGAAATGTAATTTAAGGGACCAAAAGTGGCAAAAATATCTTAGGTTTACTGTTTTTTTTGTCCACAACTTTAATATATATATAATAATATGAGTGCTTATTACAAATTAAATGATACAAAATCATCCAACGAAATATTTTAGAAGGAATGTGAGAAAGTTTTGGAAAAAAATACAACATCTGATAACAAAAGATCGAGGAATCGCATTGGAAATTATTTGGAAACAAGACATATATCTTCATTGTTTGAGGTGAGTTATTTCACTATACTATGTATTACATTATATATCCATGTATGTTAGGATAGAGAGCTAGTAAAGTAAAAATATAGTCTTTATATGCTTTATGTTATTATACTTGAGTTATTGTGTAGAGTCGAAATAATAGTTTCTATGTGCTTATTATTACTGTACTTGAACTAGTAGAATAAGCATAATCTCTATGTGTTTAAATGTTATTATATTTAAAATTATTACGGTTAAGTTAGGGGTTGACGGCGGAACGGCGACAAGTCGGGAGCCTATAGACTCATGTATTGACGACGAAATGGCAAGTAGACCGTAAGTCTAGATACACATTTTATTGGTGGATCGGCGAAAGGTCGTGAGTCATTGATTGTATGCATGTATATGTATTGTGATATATGGTATTTTGGGAAAACTCACTAAGCCTCGGCTTATAGTTGTTGAATAACTATTTTTCAGGATGTTCTTCTGATCGTGGAAAGGCTCCAGCATGATTGTACTCGCATCGAAAAAATTAATAATGTTTTTAGACTTCCGCTAAAACTCTCTTTTATGTTTAATAAATGTATGACAATGATATTTCAATAAATATGAGCTTTTGGACATATTTTCTATATGTTTAAAAAAAATTGTGTTGAAAATCGGGACGTAACAAAAATCAAATGAATTATAAAACAAAATTGAAAAAGAACATGGGTGGATAAGGAATGGCGGGTGAGTGTGTTGTTGTAGGCCAGTTTAGTAAAAATATCAACATCTTCCACTTTCTCAGAATACAAACACACACAACCATCCACATCTTCCACTGTCTCTGTCTCTAAGGGCATCTCCGATCCACCCCCAAACTCCATTTTTCCCCATTTTCCTCCAACCCTACCTCATTTTCATCTCCATTTTTGGAGATGCCCCATATTTAGAGAATACTATTGATATCTCTAAAAATGGAGTTGAAGTTTTTGTTGCCAATTTTAGTCCTTCTTATTTTTATTTTACACATATCTAGTTTATTTTATCTACGAATTAATTTAAATACAATATTTAATACTTTTAATATCATGTTATATATTAATTTATATTAATTAATCATAAATATAGAGTTTAATATTTATTTATCGAATTCATATAAAAAAAATTAAATATATACTAAAGACTTAAACACGATAACATAATTTATAAAATATAGTAATCAAATACGATCGGGATCTTAATATATTTATTATAAAGATAATCTTATTTATTTAATAATTATTTATAATAAAGTAATATTTAATTTAAATTTATTATATATAAACATTTTACTTATGATAATATAATTTGTAATATTTTTGTAATGAAAAAATATAATATATATTTATTAAAATCTAATTAGTAGAGGGATGTATTTGACAATATATATATAAGTTATAAAAATAGAAAATTCTAGGAATATACTTTTGGGGTAAAAAATGGGATAGAAAATGGAGTAGGATTGGAGATGAAAGGCTATTTACCCCATTTATAGGGGGGAATGGAGATGGGTTGCAGATGGTCTAAATACAAACGCACACAACATAATTAACAGAGAGCCAGGAAGATGGAACACTAAACCATCAGTAAATGTCGTAATGGCCATTTTGGGTAATAGCTAAGGAAAGAACAACATGAATTGTTATTTCGTTGACAATCAAACTAAACATCTCTTGATAATCAATCCTTGGTTGTTTGTTTGTGTAACACCCATAAAATTCAAGCCAATTTAAAACTTTTTAAACCATTTGAAACCATTCAATTATTACAATTTGTTTTCAAAATAGTTTATACATCAGAGTTCCCAGAAATCATAATCGTCAATTGAGGAAGTGTACGGTCACGCCTTCGCCTACCCGCGGCCATCCGTTGAACCTGAAACAATAAACTGAAACTGTAAGCCCAAAAGCTTAGTGAGTTACCCCCAAAATACCAACCTCATATAACCATAATCATAACATATCAACAAGTACAGAACAACCATGCATCTCGAGTCTACAGTGTGACTGGTCCGCCCGCACCGGGCCTTCAGTCCACCTGGTCCACTCTCTGAGTCTACATTCTGACTGGACCGCCCGCACCGTGCCTTCAATCTATCTGGTCCACTCTCCGAGCCTCGGCACGTCTGGACCGCCCTCTTGGGGCCTTCAGCCTATCCGGACCGCTCGTCGGGCCTTTGGCCTGACTAGATTTGCCCGGCCCGGGCATGTAGTCTACCCGGTCCGCCCAGGGTGTCTTGGCCTACTGCACACAGCAGGACCTGCCTCAACCCTTTCCCCCAAACCAATAAACATGTGCACATATAACAGATAATCACATAACAGTATATAGGCAAACAAACCGATCTAACAGATCATATAGCATAGCAACATCCTATAACCAGGATACCGACCTAACCGGTCACTAACATAGCATCATCCTATATACCAGGATACCGACCTAAACCAGGTCACTAAACATAGCATCATCCTATATACCAGGATACCGACCTAAACCAGGTCACTAAACATAATATCGTCCTAACTACCAGGACGCAGATCTACAGATCAGTAAACATATCATGTAAATACCCGGATACAAATCCGATAAAGGGTCGGCCTTGGTGCCGTAGACCCTATTGATATAGTGAGGATAACTCACCTTGTAATGCCGGACTGAACCACGAAATCACGCTCCCGAAACACTGCCCCAACTCCAACACCTATAACCATCAATGATCCAATTTATAAATACCCGCTTACCAATTATCCGCAAAATTCAAAACGGTCAACCCTTGGTCAAAGTCAAAGTCAACTATCAAGGTCAACAGTCCATGTTGACCTCAACTCGCCGAGTACCCTCAGCTACTCGCCGAGTTCCTTGCATAACTTGCCAACTCGCCGAGTCACCATGCCACTCGTCGAGTCCAAGGCAATCTTCATCGGACTCGCCGAGTTGTTCATCCAACCCGTCGAGTTCATGATCATCTTCATATGACTCGCCGAGTCTACCATGCGACTCGCCGAGTCCCTTCAGTCCTTCATCCATACAGATGCTTTTTAAGCCATGCTAAGGCTCCATACTGCAGATCCAACTTCCCAAGGCATGCTTATCACGTAAAGTTGCAAACTTTACGTGCATACAAGGCTCTAATAGCTCCAAATGCCAAAACCAAGCTTGAAATGGGGTTTTACACTTAAGGAGGGGTTCATACTTGCCAATGTTGATAGCTTTATGGACTTACAAATCAAAGAGAGTTCAGATCTGAAGTTACAACTTCAGATCTAAGCTCATACCTAAGAATAGCTTCATAACCAAGCCAAGAAGCCCTAACTTCATCCAAAGAGATCTAGAAAGGAATGAGGCCAAGATCATGAATTGATACCTCAAATGAAGCTAGCTGAGATAGACTTCAGACCCACAAACGTTCTTGCCTCCAACTTCTTGATCTTCAAGCTTCTTGCATCAAGGTCTTCTTTCCAAGCTTGAAATTTACACTAATATGGAGCACACACACGAATTAGGGTTTCTGGACTCTCAAGAGGCTGCAAAGGAATTAAGGGAGGCTAATGATCCCTTAAATAGGGTGCCAAACCCCGAAAATTAGGGTTTCACCCTCCAGCTCCAACTCGTCGAGTCACTCTTCCGACTCGGCGAGTTGGTCACTTAAACACGTGGCCCAAAACCCGCTGCTACTCGACGAGTCAGGCAACCAACTCATCGAGTAGATATTGAATTCATGAGAATTTATAACCATCAATTGGTATTCGAGAATCGGGGCGTTACAATTCTCCCCCACTTAAACTAGACTTCGTCCTCGAAGTTTGCTGCGGTGAACATCCTCGGATAGTGCTCCTGCAACTCTGCCTCCGGCTCCCACGCCCACTCGGACCCTCTTTGGTGCTCCCACTATACCCTTACCAAAGGTACCTCCTGTCCCGCAGAACCTTCACCCCTCTCTCCAGAATGGCCACAAGCCTCTCCACATAATCCAGGCGCTCACCGACCTGAATGTCATCCAACAATACTACCTTCTCCTGATCCATGATGCACTTTCGCAATTGCGAAACATGAAAGGTGATGTGAATCCCAACCGAACCTTTTAAAAGGTCTATCATGCATGCCACCTTTCTAACTTGACAAAATCCTGATGATCCAACGTATATGAAACCCAACTTTCCTCTTCTTGAAGCGAACCCTTTGAGCTGACATGATAATGCATCCTTCAGCTCTCAAAATATCATACATAATCAATCCACTAATGAATACGAACACTCATGCCTGGCCTAATCAACCCTCGGGTTGGAATACCAATCATACCCAATCAATTCCATTATCGTGCTAAATTCTCAGGGTTTGTTGGCCTACCGCCTCAACCCTACCGCTCCCTTTGAGCCTCCGCATCTATGACTTTCAGTCGGCCCGCACCGGGTATCTTGGCCTACCGCATAAAGCAGGACCGCCTCAACCCTATCCAATTGCCATAGACGATCATGAGAAAGATCTAACCCGGTTCCCAGAACCTGAACGACAGGATATTCT